ACGTTGTTTAGATTGTGAATTAGGAAAGAGAACTGTCACTGAAATGCTGAGATTCTGTTCATCATATGTAGGATATGTCTGCTCCGTCAATTAATCAAAACGGTGATCTGATATGTGTGTATTCATTGACAGGAAAACTATGAGTACAGAAATCAAGCTAACTAGTATAATGTGTGAAGACTACGTTGAAAATGTTTAAAATCTGTCTCGCGAATATCAATGTTTATACTGAGTAAGTTAGGAGGGATAGAGTTGTACGTCGAGCGCAAATTCACTAATGTCTCTTGATTTTGCTACCTCAAAAAAATATGAAGGTAATTATATTATTATCAAATACGTGTGCAGGTAGATTTTGATATGCTCGTCAGTTGATCAGCTTGAACGATGTCAACAAGTATTGATATGGTGTAAAATGTGCATTTTTCAAGCATCCAGCAAATTTAAGGTATTTAAGCACACAAATCGAGTTGATTTATTTATCACAGAGACATTTTATGGAGAGCCACAAAAATAGCGTAAAAACTAACACATCAAACAGAAACAGTCAATGAATTTCCGGCTGGGAAATGTGATCTCAAAGTTAACTGATCAGCCCATGAATAACATTAATAATTTGAATATTTTCAAGTGAATAATGGAAGTCAAATGACGCAACATATTTATTCACTGAGAGGCGGACACAAATGTGTGTATGTCGTCGTAAAAGATGACAATCTTTCGTTAGTCACTGATATCAGTTTTCTTATATCAGTTGACAAACGAAGTGATATCTACATCCGTCACATACTGGTCATGGGTTCCATCAATAAATAGGTTGGCTGAAACAAAAAGAATAATAGGTAATCAGACCGATGAACAATGACTAGACGACTACTAGTAACTGATAGACAGCATTTCACACTCAATGTACTCTCATGTACATAAAATAAAATCTAAAGAATCATTCGTTCGAAAATATGACGCATTAAACTGATGTCGGTATTTGAAAATGAAACCGGCATTCCCTGTCATCAGGCGACAAATGTGTACACAGGAAACTAGGATCATACATTGAGGTTGAAAATCACATGTAACCACGTCAAAATTGTGCATTTTCTATTGTCACGGTGCACGACAATGTACGCTAGAACAGTGCTCACCACTAAGCATCTATTCATGCTTCTAGCTGTAACGGTAATCGTTTAAGTGATTCGATGACTCATTCAACATCCTATTTAATAAACATGTGCATGAATCCTAACTACAGTGATTTACTCCTCGGCATTGGCCCATCCTATCGCTTTCGCTTCGTATGCTTCAGTTTTGTGACCGTTGAGGTGCGATTATAGAAACGCATCAATTGTTCATATTCGTCTTCTGAATTAATCATCGTGGAATATTATTTAGAAACCTGAAGTGTCATTGTTTTTCGTCTGTGAATGCGTGACCGGTTGTTGTTGAGAGTGTTGAACATGAAAAGTCATAATGGCAATTTGTTATCTGATCATTTCACCGTTTGTTCCCACGCATTTACGACCGAATCAAATGACAGTTTCGACGGTGCAGTGAAAAGCCTACTTCAAATGGATAATGTTACCTTACGAATTCGGTAGGAGCTCGCGTTTTGTATCACCTGAACTTTGAACAATACAGTAGAATCTTATGAAGAGATGCTTGTGAGTCGAATTGCCGAAAATGAAGAGACCATTAGACTACTTCAGGTGATTGGAAAATTCACAATTACGGACTGAATCTTGCAAGTGAAAATACTGTAAGAATGTGGTATTATATAAAATAGATTTCCGTACGTGTGTCTTCAAGTAAAATGTCAGTGATTGATGATGATGTGTGTACATACCATTTGTCAGTCCATGCAACATTTCTTCCACCTGCCATCCTCGCTTACATTATCCTGTTAATATATGAGTACCGTCGGCGCACATTTTTCCAGCAACAATAACTCATATCTATGAACTACGTGTTCACATTCTCCTCGCATTACTATATACTGATGTTGGTTTCGATATCTGATTTGATAAAATGAAACAGAATTCCACTCTGCTTTGACAGCCTTAAATGAAAATCCATGCTCTACCACGCTGGTTTCATGCTAACATTCATTGTATATTCTTGATTGAAATGTTGGAAACCGGACTGGATTTAGTTTGCAGGTCATATCAGTGAATATGATGAGTGAAATCGTCATAGATTAGAGAGGTAAACTATGATGAATAAACGCTTATGCATTTTGTGAATAATAATCAATCAGGCAATACTTGTACTTTTCAAAATCACTGGTATGACCTTAAAACTATGCACACATTATTCATGGAGTAATGATGAATTAAAATGTGAATGTTGCACATTTATTAGGATTTGCACTATTCACACAAGTATGGCTGCCTAGGTGATGTATGATCAGTAGAAAGCACACAAGTCAATCACTGTTGCTCTCATCTAAATTCCATCGACAATCGTGCAGATAACTAGGATTGTGATACTAGTTTCCTTATTTGAGGTTGACAATCACACGTAACCACGTCAAAATTGTGCATTTTTTATTGTCACGGTGTATGACTATTTACGCTTGAACAGTGCTCACCACTAAGCATCTATTCATGCTACTCGCTTTATGTACGGCCCGACCGTAGGTGCTACCTTGACGTGGATGTCGGTCTTGCCTATCTTGATCACTCAACCGAGCTTTTCTTGCTGGAACGTATGTTCTTGAATTTTCAGCCGTTCTAGACAGGTAGATTGATGAACGATTTGATTAAAATCAGCTACCTATGTTCTGAGGGCGAAGTCGTACTGCTGACTGCAGATGAGTATGACTGCAGTAAGGTGTTTCGCTCGGACAACTAGTATCTGCAGCACTGCCGCCTTCTCACGAGGTAGGAAGGGATAGAAAAGGTCGACCCTAAAAATGTCACATCTCAGCCTACCTCACGGATTTACGTCTACGGCGGTAAGGGAGCCAACTAAGGGCCTTTAAGAGCGGAGCTTATCCCCATGAAACCTTTAACAAAAAGGCCGTGCGTTACCGGTCTCCAACACTAATCCATCTTCCTTTTCAGGTCCCTCAATAAACAACCTTCCACGGTGTGGGCAGCCGGGAATTTGAAACCGCCCTCATCCTCGCAACAGCACGCGAGACCAAATTGGTCAAAATTAAAT